CAATGCTTTGATGTCTAAAGATTTCGTATAATTTTTTTTGACTCTTATACGAAACTTGTTTTATCAAGTTGGAAAAGATCTTTATGACTTCGTCAAATCATCGAGTTATCGCTTTGAAGTTTGGCAGAGGTTTTCTAAACGCATGATTACGATGAGAGATACTGTATAGTCTTCGAGATTATTTCCAGATGGTTTGGATCAGTTCTTAGCGTATAGACGAATCTTAGATTGTCTTTTTCTTTTGGGATGATTTTGACGAGGCATCGCATTGTCCGAATATTTTTCCGCTTATTTTTTCGAGAGTTTGCTTTATAGAAAGCTTTTTCTTGATGCGAGGAAAAATATTTTTTGAAATATGGGAGTATACGAATACTCGTATACGCACCCACTCCCCCCCCCATTTTAGAGAGGGGGATAGCTGAACTCGTCTTTAGGCGAGCTTCCTACGTATCCCTTTCGGGAATCAAACCATCTTGTAGTTCTAGTTGTTGATGCGAGTACGTTTACTTGGCTGTAGTAGACGCGTCGATCGCTTTTGTTGCTGGATCGGTGTCTTTTCTGGGTTTTTCTCCTCCGTTTGGGCAGAAGCGGTGGGTTCGGAAACTTGTTGTTTCTCGACCGTTGCATGGTTTGCCGATTTGGGGTCGTTTTCCGCGGTTGGCAGAGTTGAATTTGCCTGTTTCGGTTTCGTAATCGCGATCGCCAGTTGCCTTAGCTTATGTTCCACTAGAAAGCAAAACCGCGACTGTCTCTGGCATCCCCAAATTACTACGACTCCTGAAGGAGTTGGGAACTTAATGCCTAAGTGGTACGTCGACGAGACTGCCTTCATGGTGTTTATCCAAGGTGTTCCCATGATTACGTTGTAGATGGCCGGACAATCGACGACTGCGATGTTAACGATCTTGGTTACTTCTTTCGCGACCACCGGAAGTCGAATCGACCCCAGAGTCATGGCCGTTTCGCCGGAAAAACTGGTCAACGGCTTTGGTATCGGTTCGATCACCGTCAATCCGATTCCCATTCGTGTTAAAGTGTCGCAGAAGATCAAATTGATGGTACTTCCGGTATTAATGAGTACTCGGGCGACCTCTAAATCGCTTATGACTAGGTCGATGACGAGAGGATCAGCGTGTGGGTGGTCGATGCCTAACGTTTCTGCTTCCTCGAACGCGATTACTCCTCTTGGAGTATCATCCGATGGTGTCGGCAAATTTGTGCCTGTCTCGGCTTTTCATCGATGGGACTTGATGGACGAGATGGTGTCGCAGTACTATTGCGATTCACCGATGATCATGTTGACCCTTCGGCGGTTATCATCGTTCCCTTACTCGTCTTGTCTTTGTCCGCATTTCTCGCCCGTTTCCCTCGAGGCAAACTGTCTGCCTGCGAGTTTCTATCGTTTTTTTGGGGGGCGGTCTGAATACGCTGGATACTTCGGAGAGTTCTCTCGCGGATGAGGTCGTTTACGCTGGATACTTCAGAGAGTTCTCCCGCTAGCAGTTTTGCGGCTAACCTTGCGCCGAGAACTTTGCAGTTTACGGTAGAATGACCGCGGGTCTGGTGGAAGTCGCGGAAGACGTTTTCGTCGTTATTCACGTTTCTGGTCCACGTGATTCCCGTAGTTCGCCCTTGCTCCGATCCAGAGTTGATGGCATAGTTATGCGCCCCCTGAAGATCATGTCCCTCGTGATGGACGTACTTGTCGTTACGAGGGTTTTTCTTTTTCAGCTTTTGCTCAGACGCGGCGTCTTTTGCAGACGTCTTCATCAGTTTATGCTGCTCCGCCAGGATCTTAGTTTCCTCTTCGATGACAATGAAGTCAGTAGCTTTGTGGAGCGCGTCCTGGATTGTACGCGGCTTCTCGAGAGTTTCTCAGCGCGTCGATGGCTGCTCTATCACTTATTCCGCTAACTCTAGCTATGATGAGTTTTAACTTACTCATGAAGGCGCGGAGAGGTTCGTCTTCCTTCTGGGATAGAATCCAGAGGTCGGCGTTGGAAGTCTCTCAGTTTATGAACATCAAGTACTGCTTTAAGAATTCTGAGGCAAGCTGGCGGAAACTCCCGATCGAATACCGTTTAAGTCGAGAGAACCATTCGAGCGCTGCTCCTTCTAGGTTTTCGACTAAGAGACAGCAGTAACCTGCGTTCTTCTCACTTTCCTTGAGCTTGACTCGACCCATAGTGATATGGAAGACCTGTAAGCTTTGGGATCAGTCGTCCCATCGTAAGTTGGCACTTTGAGCTTTCCAGGATCGGGCAACTTAATCTCGGTGATACGAGCCGTAAAATGCATTTTTCGAGATTCCTACAGCAGTTGACCAATTTCGGGCGCAGCGCTAGTGGCATGGTGAATTCGAGACTTCACTGCTTTTACCGCTGCGGCCGTTTTAGTGATATAATAACGGAGATCGCGAATCTCAGTTGGGTCGCCAGCAATTTTCCGACCCCGTCGGCGTTTGCTGCGAGTAACTTGAGATCATTCCTCGGCCGTTTTCGCATGCTCCATGTAATAGAACTCTTCCTCGTCCTCGGTGGGAGAGTGTTCGAGAGAAGAATCGGGCTGAGGACTGCGATCTTTCCTCCTTCTTGGATGAACGTCAACGTCTTCCTCCGAAGGATCGGATTAGTCGCTGGTTTCCAGATTCACCCTTTCGCCATCGTCCTCAATCTCATGTTCGCAAGAAGGAGATTTTTCCGAGTCTTTTTGTGTCGCGTATGGGTTATTTTCTCGGAGGTTTACCCTAGTTGATTACCCTGCTCGGTTCTGGGATGATCCATAGGAGTTTCTAAATCGAGTTTTTTTCTGCGGATTTTCGTAGTTCCGCGGGGGCATATAGCTTTGGTTCTCACGGTTAAGGTTTCGACCTGTTTCGCGAGAGATCCGATTAGCTTATCATGTTCATCCATCCTTTTTGATAAGCGGAGAGTGCCTCCTGCAGCGTCGTAGTGTTGGTCGTAGCGTTAACTGTAGTGACGTTTGCTGCTGGAGTTTTAGTTTCATCGTTCATGTTGACATCGGATGGTTGTTCTTCTGTCATTGTGATTGGCTGAGCGTGATGTAGTATGAGAGTTAGATAGATCTGTAACCCCCCTCCTTGTAGCGCCAAATTGGAAGAATCGAAATTCACACCGTCGATTTCCGTGAATAAAGGAACTTATTGAAAACCCTAATTTCCCAGAGGTCCCGGCTATCTGCTTAACCACACGCATACAATCAGAGTACGACAAAAGATAGTAATGTAAACATGAATTGAAAAGAGAGCAAAGAGGTTTCTTACTCCGATTTTGCATAGGAACGGTACAACGAGGTTAGCCTTGGCTACAAGAGCTGACGGTGAGTTTCCTAGATCTAGCAACCTAAGACTAAAACCCTAGTTGAGATGCAGCTCGATAAAAACATTGAAAATTGCCTAAATGCTCTAAGTTTGTGTGAAGAAAGTTCTGAATGTTCCCATGCTTATACTCCTTCTTTAGGCGGTTTGGTCTTTTCTTTTCCGCCTTGATCCGCGCTTATCAGAAATCTTCCATTTATCTCGATCTTTCCATTTTTCTTCGGAAAACTTCTATTTATCTTCAATCTTGACATTTATCCGCTTCTGCGGATAATAGGCAAACCGCCATTGTATCTTTGGGGTGGACCTTATTCAAAGTCATGAGTGGGCCTTTATCGCGTTTTAGGACCTTTCTGGCCGTTTTACGATTTAGCCGTTTCACGACTTTAGACGAGATCGTTTCTTGATACGATGCCGTTTTTAAGTAAACATCTCGAATTAATAGTATGATTTGGCAATGTTCGGTGTTTTATTTAACCGTTGCCATTTTATACGATTTACTCGAGGTTTTACGAGAAAATGCATCTTTAGTGATTTTTTATAAAAAAATCTCGAGTTAATCGTATAGTTTGGCAATGTTCAGTGATTCGTTTAACCGTTGCAGTTTTATATGATTTACTCGAGCTTTTACGAGAAAATGCGTCTTTTGCGATTTTTAATAAAACATCTCGATTTAATCGTATAGTTTGGGAATGTTCGGTGTTTCTTTTAACCGTTGCCGTTTTATACGATTTACTCGAGGTTTTATTAAAAATACGCCTTTTACGTTTTTATCTAAAACTCAAACGATAAGGTGGATTGAGACGAAACGAAAGACCTTCCAATCACGGTTCAGAATACGATCGAGTCAAGGGGCATAGATGGTTAAACTCAGCTCTCTTGCTGGCGAGCGGGACAGATGTGTTCAGCTCGCCAACGGGCGAGCTGGTTACATGTGTGGTCAGCTCGCCAATGGGAGTGCTGGTCACATGTGTGGTCAGCTCGCCCATTGGCGAGCTGGACAGGTGCGTTTAGCTCAGTTCCGATATTTTCTTGTTTTCTCGACCCGAGATCCTTGCAGAGAACGTAAGGAGAAGTGCCCGTAGGTGTTGATTCGGATCTTAACAGTAGTTTTAATATCTCGGGGAGTTTGGATGTTATGGCTGTCTTTTGTTAACTTAGCTAATAAAACAATCGCGGATTGTTTTATTCGATTTCCCGACGACTTCCAAGATGACGATTGTTAGTTTTGAGGAAAAACCATGTTCGGAGAATCCTTAGATTTTTTCTCGACGCTTTTACGTATTTTTAAAACCTAATCTTGCACTTGCGGAAGGTTTTGGTCGTTGGTTCCGTCGTAACCGATTTTGACACCAACAAGCAAGGAGGTCTTTTTTTATTATTTCATACTTTGATACGAGTTTTCCATAACGTCGTATCTCCGTAGAAAGTCTATAGTTTCTTGTACGTTTTTCTGGGACTTTTAGCCATTAATTCCGTCGAGACCGATTTTGACCCCAACAAACAAGATGCTCATTTCTTGTAAACTAAAAATACTTGGTCATAATCACTTCATAGGAACATTACCAATAACATCAACTTTTTTTTCACTATAAGAACCCCACTGCAAACCCCTTTTGGAGTAATCAAACTAGTATCAAAAACCTTCAACTTCTCTAAAACAATGGCTTTAGAACATATCAAAATCTTTCTCATTGTCTCTCTAGTTTCATCCTTCTATTTATCAATCACTCTTTCTCGCCCTCTCGACGATGAACTCATCATGCAAAAGAGGCATGACGAGTGGATGGCCGAACACGGCCGTGTTTACAAAGATATGAACGAGAAAAACAATCGCTACGTTGTGTTCAAACGTAACGTAGAACGCATTGAAGGCTTAAACAACGTTCCCGCCGGAAGAACGTTTAAACTCGCGGTGAACCAGTTTGCTGACCTAACCAACGATGAATTTCGTTCTATGTACACTGGTTACAAAGGAGACTCGGTGTTGTCTAGCCAAAGTATTAAAAAATCGACGTCGTTTAGGTACCAAAACGTTTCTTCTGGTGCTTTGCCGATTGCTGTTGATTGGAGGAAGAAAGGAGCTGTGACTCCTATCAAGAATCAAGGCAGCTGCGGTAAATATAATTCAAAATCTTTATTCATGTATATTTAAACTAAACCAAGCTGAAAGTTTGAACCGTTTTTTTTAATTGAAGCTGAAAATAAGTTGGTTTCCTTGTACCAAAACTATTTGATCACTTAATTTTGTACCGAATATAAACAAAACACAACCAAAATTTTGTGTAACTAAACCGAACCAATTACAAGTTCTTATTTTTTTGTTATATACAAAAGAAAATATCTTTATTTATACGAACTTAAGATAGAGAAATTTAAAAAAAAAATATAAGTTTAACTGAGTTAATATGAACCGAGTGTTTTGAACTAAACTTAAAAATTCAGGTTATGGATGCTCAAAACTGAAAAAAAAAAAACAAAATGTATAAACCAAAATAATATGAACCGAGTATTTTCCATGGATGGTGAAACTAACGAGTGAGTGTACGTGTAGGATGTTGTTGGGCTTTTTCAGCGGTTGCGGCTATAGAAGGAGCAACACAGATAAAGAAAGGAAAACTTATTTCTTTGTCTGAACAACAGCTTGTCGACTGCGACACAAATGATTTTGGCTGCAGCGGCGGTCTAATGGATACTGCGTTTGAACACATAATGGCCACTGGCGGCTTAACCACAGAAACAAATTATCCTTACAAAGGCGAAGACGCCACTTGCAAGATCAAGAGCACTAAACCAACAGCAGCTTCTATCACAGGTTTCATTTTAATTCCTTGATAACGACATAAAAAGAGTCTCAATGAAACATTTTCATTGTCATTCGCTTCCAAATTTTTCGATGATAATACATAGGAATACGCTTTCAATTGTCAGTCGCCTGACTCGCCTCCATACAGTTTTCCAATTTCTTTTATATAAAAAATATTTTAAAATTCTTACTAAATCTTATGGTCCTCATAATCTCTTGTTTATTAAAATCTAATATTCATGCCTTGAATTTTAATGTCGTGTGCACACATGATAGGCTATGAGGATGTCCCGGTCAACAACGAGAAAGCTCTAATGAAGGCGGTGGCACACCAACCGGTTAGCGTTGGAATTGAAGGAGGTGGTTTCGATTTCCAATTCTACTCCTCTGGTGTGTTCACCGGAGAGTGCACAACTTATCTTGATCACGCGGTGACTGCGGTTGGATACAGCCAGTCTTCCAACGGATCTAAGTATTGGATCATCAAAAACTCATGGGGAACAAAATGGGGAGAAGGTGGATACATGAGGATTAAAAAAGATGCCAAGGATAAAGAAGGACTATGTGGTCTTTGCCATGAAAGCTTCTTACCCAACTATATGAAAAGCCGGTTAAATACCCGGTTATGTTTAAATTGTATATATGTGTGGGGTTTATGTCTAAAGATGAATAGTTTGTGTGATTACAATTTAAGACTTTGTTGTATGTAATTTGTGAATTGCTATGTATGAAGAAGATTTGATAAGTTAATTAAGATCTATTTCTTTCAAATTTAGTAACGTATTTTGTCCAAAAAAAAGTATTTAGTAACGTATGTTTGAAATCAGTGAATATTGATGATGATGGCTAGGTGTAATTTCAAACACATACGTAATCGAGTTGCACAAAATAAAAATGAAAATTAAAGATAAGTAAAGATTTTATTTGATGTAGAAAGCAACAGGATGTGAAAATGGATTGTAGTGGATAATCGCTCTTGGCTCATCGTTCACAACACGTTTTGGTTCCTCATATTCAAGTCCCATTCAGTGTAGAGTTTTTCAGCAAAACATTTTTTTTCTTCTAAAACACCAAATCTAAGAATACACAAACTTTCCTAATCTAAGCAAATAGAGAGTTCGATTTGTAACAAGCTAAGGTTCCTAGAAATATAAACAAGATCTATTAAAAAACGACATATTTTTTTTGTTCTTCTGTTTATCTTTAAAGAGAAGAATACTTAATATCTTAATTTTTTAAAATATGAGCAAATCATATATGTCACTTACAAATCTACGCACATAAAAAATACACATTCTTAAATCTAAAGCATAACCTGAGCTCCATCTGATACATTTGGTCCTTATGACAACATAGTATATTATTGGACCAAGTTCAATACATACAATAATGTGCCAGTTTTATAACCACATAGATAAGACGAAAAGGATAATACTTTCACAATTGTTTTTAACAGAACACATGTATCCTTTGCATTTTGAGCTCCACAAAAATGAAACAGATTTGTTAAAAACTGCAGGATGTGAACTTTAGTATTTTGAGCACTTTCACGAGGATATTTCAATGAATTTTGGAAAACTAAATAATGAAATTAAGCAAAAAGACTAATTAATGAAAATCTATATAATAATATTACAGTTTCCTCATTTTTAATGGTGTCCATGTAATCATGTGTTATAGGTCTCACAAAAATAAAAAAAAATACAAAACAAAAGAATGTAGATCGATTAACTTCTCCAGTTTGTGCCTCATAAAACCAAGAATCGAACACAGATTACTTACTCTTCAAACAAAGTCTTTACTATCAAACTACTATGGATATTTACCATATTTTACGAAAACTAGACTATAATATTTATGTTACTAGGATAAACCCGCCATACGGGCGGACGGATGCATATATAAATTACTTTAAAAGTTTTAATTTATTTTAAGTAAAATAACATTAACTTTCATGATATTTTCACCAAAATGTTAACCTTATTTCACTATTAATTTTAGAGATTATATCATTATCTAATTATAGATATATTATATTTTGTTATACATTTATATTTGAAAATATTTGGTTATATATTATGTATGAAGTTATTTTTATTAATGCTTATTTTTAATTTAATCATCCATTTCAGTTAAAAATGTCTGATGTTAGAATATTCAATTTCTACCTCGTGATAATTAACTAAATTTTGTATACGCTTGTTGAGATAATTTTAATGATGATATGTTTTTCATCTTGTTTTTGTTGAATATATATTTTGATGATTGCTTGTTTTATTTTAGGTTTTATACTCTTATATTTTCATTGACATGTTATTTTTATTGTCTCTTGTTCATACTGTGAAAATATTTATTTTATTTATTTATTTTCATATAAGTATAGAAATTAAGTTTGATGTTTCTTTTGCAATACATGACATAACAGTTTTAAATAGATTTATTAAGGTAACAACAATTTAGTCTCTTGTTTATTTCCTTTTTTTCATAACAAGATTTTACTACCTCATACGATAGATATATTCTTAAAAATCTATCTGAAATAACTAGATTAACTTAAATTTAAAACAAATCTGCTACCTCATACGATAGATATATTCTTAAAAATCTATCTGCTATTCAAATCGGACAATTAACTCTGCCGTGAAAATAAATCTGACGTTTTTAAGAAAGTCTGACCCCACGTTAACGGTAGACTTTGTTTTCTATACATGTTTTATAAATAGATTTATTACTCGATAGACTTATTTTTTTATAAATAAATCTGCCGTCGATCAAATGTTAAGGACACTTTGGTAATATTTTTTTTGTTATAACTATGCAGAAGGGCAATTTCGACCAGAAAAACATTCTAATAATTTTTGAAAAATATGAATCATTCTAGTAATAACACAATAAATTTGGGTCATTTTAGTAAACTTCCCCAATAATTTCTCACCAAGTTGAAATAATTTATTTGGATAAATGTTTATTGTTAGCTTTTATTTATGTGTTTATTATATTTTGATATTGTGTTAGCCTCGTATTGTCATCATATTTAGATCACTTATATCTTCTTATTATTTTGGAAATGACCATTTCTATCTTTATTTTATTTATGTGTAATTTATTTTTTGCTAGTTATTCGTAATTTAGATATTGGGTCTATGTTTCTATAGTTGGTGTCCCTGCTACTTTTTAAAATATATTAGTAGAAACTGTTAAAACACTGTAATATATATATAAATAATGAATAATAATCTCTATAATATTATTTGAGAAGTCAGTTTCTTATGTGTCGCACTCACATTAACTCTCACGATGGTTGATTATATAGATACCCTTAATAAACTAATAATATTATATAAGATTGATATTAATAACGTATTTCCTTTCTTTCATAACAAGATTTTACTTAAATTTAAGTTTACTTTTTGAAAACACATAAATAAAAATTAAATATTTAAGAAACATAAATCAATATATATAAACGAAATTTATTTTTTTCTAAATTTTCCTAAAATAACATATTTAGTTTTTTAAAGAGATGTTAAAAAGGAAACTAAATATTTTTTTTTAAAGTAAATATTTTGATCAAATAATTTCAAAATCTTTTTAAAAAGTGTAGCACTATACATTATTAATGAGTAGAAATATTATATTTTATCATTATTAAAAATTCTTTTTAATATTTAGTTTGCTTTTTAATTTATGTTTTATGTTTATGGAACTTAATATATATAATCAAAATACTCAAGTAAATCTAAGTTTTCATTTTTAAGATTGTTTAAAATACTTTTCAGTTTACCTTTTTAAGAAATCTAAGGCATAAAATAATTTAAAAATTATAATATTTAATCTTTGTAAATATTAATATGTGCTCATGAAGTTTCAAAAGTTTATCTTTATACTCATATTTATGTATGCGAATTCCTATTGATAGTCACTTTATTTTTAATACTAGGTGTTCTCCTGCACCATGTGCAGTAAAAAAATTTAAAATATTTTTTTAATAGATACAATATAAATTATGTTTAAAATTAAATTTTATTAATATTAGAAATTTTCTTTTTCTTATCACTATTTTAATACAAAATTTTGTTTAATTAAAAATAAAAATAGTAGAAAAATATTTTTATTTATTTTAAATTATATTTAAGAATATTCATGTATATATTTAAAATTCTAATCTTAGATAGATTTTTATCTATTTATTTTAATTAATTATATTAAATAAATTTTTAGAAATTTTTATAATTATCAAAAATTAAAATTAGACAATATTTATTAAATTTGTAAATATATAAGAAATTAATAATTTTACGGTTAAATTTTAATAATTTTCAAAAAAGATATACATTTTTGAAAAGTTTGTAGTAAAATTGTATAATTTTAAAATATATAATTAAATTATATTTTCGAAAATTATAATGCCTTATTTGAATATAATTATTTTAATGATGATTTATGAGTTATTACCATATTTTGAAAATATTTCCAAAAATATAAATCGATAGCAAATCTAATATGAGTTGTTCCATATTTTGTAAAGTTTTCCAAATTATGTTTAAAATCAAAATTTTATTAATATTATAATTTTTCTTTTTCTTATCACTATTTTAATACAATTTTTTTAATTAAACATAATAATAATAGAAAAATATTTTTTTATTTTAAATTATATTTAAGAATAGGGTAATTCTCTCAAATAGCCCTCTTTTAAGTTTTTTATCACAAAAATAGACTTCAAAAATTAAAATGACCAAAATAGCACTTTTTATTTTGAAAATTTTATGTTTTTTTAGTTTTTTTTTAAATTCGAAACCCTATCTCCAAAATCCCACTCCTCAACTCTAAACAAAAAAATCTAGGATTAGTTAATCCAAGGGGTATAAATGTATATTTAATAAAAAATTTAAGTGCTATTTTGGTCATTTTAGTTGTTAAGGTCTATATTTGTGATAAAAAAAATTTTAGGTCTATTCTAGCCATTTTCTCTTAAGAATATGCATGTATATATTTAAAATTATAATCTTAGATACATTTTTATCTATTTATTTTAATTAAATATATTAAATAAATTTGTAGAAAAATTTAGAATTATCAAAAATTAAAATTAGACAATATTTATTAAATTTGTAAATATATAAGAAATTAATAATTTTACGATTAAATTTTAATAATTTTCAAAAAGGTATACATTTTTGAAAAGTTTGTAATAAATTGTATAATTTAAAAATATATAATTAAAAGATAGTTTCGAAATTTATAATGTCATATTTGAATATATTTATTTTAATGATGATTTATGAGTTATTACCATATTTAAAAATATTTCCAAAAATATAAATCGACATTAAATCTAATATATGAGTTGTTACCATATTTTATAAAGTTTTACAAAAATATATATTAACATTAAATGCAATTGTCCATGTCATATTTAATCATATGCCATGTCATCAATTCTAGTAGACATGTCATCATTTTTTTTGTGAAACTAATTGTAGAGAGGACATGTGGCAAAATCACTTCGCAAATAATATATAGGGGATTTCTTAAAACTCAACATATATCCAATTATTGAAAATATTATAAAATACTTTCATTAAGCAATAAATAAAAATAATTTAATTTTATTTAATTAAAATAAAAATAATTATATTTACATTTGAAAAATATATATAACTCAATATACTCACAAAACGAATAACGAAACAAATCCAAATTATATCCAAAATAAAAGATCTAACTACAATAAGAACTTATAATTTTAGAATAATTATTTATTTATTTTTATACATATAGATTACAGGATGGCTCAGAAATATCAATATAGAAAAATAAATTATTAACCAACTGTTATAAATCAGTTTTTTTGTAAAAATTTATATATATATATATATATATATATATATATATATATATATATATATATATATATGAATGAGACTTCAGAATATTATCATTATATTCATTTATGTAATTTTGAGT